TGCATGTCAGTTCAGCCAGCACAACAGGCACTGCAGTTCCTGCAGGATGACCAGGGAACACCAAGGCAGGATACTTACTCTGTTAAATGATCGGGCATCTCTGTAATACAGGATTTTCATGCAGCGCTCAATCAGGTCCCGGGCCTCATCCTTCGTCAGGATGGGTTTCTTCTCTAAGACTTCTCTCATTAATGGCTGCATTTAAAAAAAAAAAAAATCAATAACAATTCCACGAGGCTGAAGTTGCAGTTCATGCTGCTCTGTTGCTTTCACTAGTCACAGCACAGAACTCAAGCCTCTGACTCACACTTCCCTGCTCTTGCCACTAAACTATGCTGCCTCTCTCTACAGTTCCCAATCCATGTTCTACAAGCACTTACCTGAGCTAGATACGCTCCATAGCCAGTAGCGAGTGTAGGGTCTTCGTAGGCAACACCCAACATGTCAACGTACCCTAGAAAACTGAACACACAATGATGGAGATTTTCATTCCTGGTTGCACGGAAGAAACATCAGAACCCTCCTGGGGTTGTAGCCAGCTTACAAATGCAACTCCAGCACAAGTTGACAAAGCAAACACCCCTCAGGCCAGCCAAGAAAAAGGTGAAGTCCAGCTGATAACTCTGGGCACACAGGCAACTAAAGGAAGGAATGTTCAGTGGCTCCTGTTTTAACAGATAGTTCTTTCGAGGCCAAGCGTCAAACAAGCTTCCAGACTACTACTCAAAAGAACTGCTTGGGGTCAGGGTATTTTCTGGCCTTCAAGTACACTGCTTACTCCTCTTTTTAAAATACCCTCTAGTATTTCCCACTGTAGCAGACTGCATTCGAGCGGGATGTGTACTACTAGATAGAGTGAGGGCCCATTCCCCTATGAAGTGGTTTAGGAAAAAAGCCATCAGTCAGTGTTGAATGGGGGCTCTCTCTCCTAGACAGGCTGTCCCTGAGGAGAAGCAAGGAGAAGGCTGTAAATTGAGTGGAGGGGGCAGGAGAGAGAGTGCATTTGATCTATGGGACACCAAGGGCCATAATGGCAGGAGCATGCAACTGTGTATACAAAAGGCAGGCCTCACCTGCACACACAAGGGAAGCAATTTACACATTCAGTTGCAACAACTGCATATGCAAATTATATAGGCAGTCGTGTGCCCCAGTACTGAAAAACTGGCTCATGCAATGGAAGGGAAAAATATCCATGCACCATGATACAAGACAAGATATAGTCTGATCTGAAAGAGGCAGCAAAGTGATTCCCGAAGACCTCAGATTAGTTAATAACAAAAGTTTGGTAAGACCATATTGAAAGCCCTTTCCTATGCTTTACAAACATTTTTAGATCTTTCAAATTTACTGTTTGTCCTTCCTTAAATCAAGCCCTGAGCTTTATTCTACCAGGGACTATAAATGACACCTATTTCTATTGTGCGGGGAGTGGATTGAGTCCCTGAAATGGAAACGCAGCAGAGAAGTTACGCTACACATCCCGCATAGCTTGAGCAGGACTTACCTCTCCCCATTGTAAAAGCCTCCAATAACGACAGTATTCCAGAGCGGATTCATCTTGGATCTCCGGCTGTACATGGCTCGGGTCAGCCAGGAGTGAATGGCCTTTGGACTGTAACTGTGACCATCTCCCAACAGCTCCTCATCGATTCTAGTACAGAGAAGAGTTTTAGACAACTTAGAAAAACCTACCAACCATCTGACATTATTTAGATTTAACCACAGCCCCCACCCCTGCCAGCCAGGCTAGCAATAAGACATACTAAATCCTCACAGGCCATTAAAGCAAATGCACACCTGCTCTGCGTTCTTACAGGTCATCAGCCATAGATCTCAAGTAAATTATGGGTAACTGGAGAGACCTGTTAATAGGCCCTTTGTTGGAGAGACACTGGGCCTGTGAGGAGAGATTTGTCGTGCAGAAATTGTGTTTCCTTCTTGCGGTGAAGGAGACTGCAGATCAAGAATCAATAGCCCTGTATTAATCTCCAGCTAGTCTGCATGCTCAAAGCCAGATAAGTAGGCATGGTAGTGGTGGGACCTTAAAGGATAGAGACAAGTTTGCACTCTCAGTGACAGAAGGACAAAGAGCTCCCACTTAAAATAACAGCTCCAGAGATGCTAAAATCTGGTTTAATTAATTTTGTAAACACTAGTTTGGGGTATTTGTGTTACATTCATTTAAAATATTTTGCTTATTTTAGTGTTAATGAAAGATGCTGGACTGGCAAACCTAGAGAGCATAAGAATGGCCATATTGGGTCAGACGAATGTTCCATCTAGCCCAGTATCCTGTCTTGCAACAGTGGCCAGTGCCAGATGCTTCAGAGGGAATGAACAGAACAGGGCAGTTATCGAGTGATCCATCGACCACGCCAGCTTCTAGCAGTCAGAGTTTTAGGTACACCCAGAGCATGGGGTTGCATCCCTGATCACCCTGGTTAACAGCCATCGATGGACCTATCCTCTCAGAACTTATCTAATTCTGTTTTGAATCTAGTTGTATTTTTAGTCTTCACAACAATCCCTGACGAGATCCACAAGTTAACTGTGCGTTGTGTGACGAAGTACTTCCTTTTGTTTGTTTTTAAACCTACGGCCTATTAATTTAATCAGAAGACCACTGGTTCTTGTTTTATGTGAAGGGGTAAACAACACTTCCCTATTCATTTTCTTCCAACTATTTATGATTTTATAGACCTCTACCATATTCCCCCTCGGTCATCTCTTTCCCATGGTGAACAATCCCAGTCTTTTTAATCTCTCCTCCTATGGAAGCTGTTCCACACCCCTAATCATTTTTGTTGCCCTTCTTTGTACTTTTTCCAATTCTCATACATCTTTTTTGAGATGGGACGACCAGAACTGCACGCAGTATTCAAGGTGTGGGCGTACCAGGGATTTATATATTGGAAGAATGATATTTTCTGTCTATCTATTCCATTCCTAATGGTTCCCAACATTGTTAGCTTGACTACTGCTGCACATTGGGGAAATGTTTTCAGAGAACTATCCACAATGACTCCAAGATCTCTTTCTTGATGGTAACAGCCAATTTAAACCCCATCATTTTGTATGTATACTTGGAATTATGTTTTACAATATGCATTACTTTGCATTTATCAATATTGAATTTTATCTGCCTTTTTGTTGCCCTGTCATCTAGTTTTGTGAGATCCCTTTGTAACTCTTCGCAGTCAACTTTGGATCTAATTACCTTGAGTAATTTTGTATCATCTGCAAATTTTGCCAACCCACTGTTCACCCCTTCTTCCTGATCATTTATGAATATGTTAAACAGACTGGTCCCAGTACAGATCCTTGGTGCACCCCGCTATTTACCTTTCTCCACTGTGAAAGCTGACCATTTATTCCTACCCTTTACTATATTTTAAACCTGTTACTGATCCAGGAAAGGCCCTTCCCGCTTTTCTTACTTTGCTTAAGAGCCTTTGGTGAGGGAGTGTGTCAAAGACTTTCTGAAAGTCCAAGTACCCTACATCCACTGGATCACCATTGTCCACATGTTTGCTGACCCCCTGAAAGAATGCTAATAGATTGGTGAGGCACAATTTCCGTTTACAAAAGCTGTGTTGATTATTCCCCAACATATCGTGTTCATCTATGGGTCTGATAATTCTGTTCTTTACTACAGTAAAGTCTAGCGGAACAACGTCTAGGTATCCGCAGCATAGGCATGAGCGTGCAAGCTTGCCCTGCCTGGAAAATGGGGCTCCCTCTAACGGAGAGAGGGAAGGTCTGCTTCCATGGGTCAGCAGAGGAGAAATACTTACACCATCTGGTCAATGACCTGCTTGAGGTACTGGAAATCAGCGTAGTCCCCAGACGCGCCAAGCACAGTGTTATCGTTCACTTTCATGATCCTGGAAATGTTACGAAACCGGGCCAGAGAGCCATAGGAGCCCAGCATGTCTGCAGCGATGATCACACCGCCATCAAACTTCACTCCCAGCACCGAGGTGCCTGTCACCATGGGATTCCTGGGGAGACCAGCAAAACCATCAGTGCTCCCTGAGTTGGACAGCCAACAGCAGCATTACTCTTCTATAGCGGCCCTTACTCCTCTCCTGAGCCTGACTCACAGATACGGACTATACTTCTGCTCCAAATGAACCCAATGGGGGGGTTGGGCCCAGGGGCTGCTGATTACATGGGGATCAATGGGTCAGAAAGCACAATGCCAGGGCAGCCCAGGCACATAGAATAGGGGCTACGGAAACACCAGCCTCCAGTGACCTTAGGGGAGCCAACCCTGTTCACCCCTTTCCCAGAAGACCCCAACATTGTCCCCTCCCTAGCAATTCACCTGTGTCCTCCATGCTCTCAGCCATCTCCCCCCACCCCACCCATGTGGCCCTGTGGATTCGCCCAGCCACCATCCCCCTCCTCAGAGCCCTCCCCCCCCCGCAAGATCTGCAAGTCCCTAGTTCCCCTCCACAGTCACCCACGAGCCCCCCCCGATCCAGACCCATCCTCCCCCAGCCTGGCCCCTCTCCTCCCCGCCTCTCCCAGCTCAGTTTCCCCTCCCCCAGCCCCACCCGTTCTGCCACCCCCCAGGCACCCTGCCCCCCAAAGTCCCCCTCCACCAACGAGCTCCCCCCCCAGCCTGGCCCCTCTCCTCCCCCAGCCCAGCCCCGCCCCCTCTGC